CAGTGTAGATAGGGTAGTTTGTAGTTTGTTTTTTATTTTTGTTTGCTTGGTGTGTGTGTGTGTGTGTGTGTGTGTATGTGTGTTTATGACTGCAGATCACAGCTCTCAGGGCTCTTGTTTCTTTAACTTGGAGTTTCTCTCCCAGCAGTATGCTCAGAGATGCAAACTGTGTGTACTGCTATAAACTTGACTTTTAGTTTCATAGATTATCTTAGGTTTTTTAGTCTTCTACTGGATTTCTCATTCGCCTACATTTTTCTAAATTAGGTATCTAGTTGCAGGGTATAAGTCTTTGAAGCCGTTGTATTTGAAAATACAACTAGACTTAATAAGTTCTTCAAGGGCAGGGACTCTGTTACAATTCCAGTGCCTAGCATCCACACTCAATACAGCAACAAAATTAGTGGGGACAGGGAGACTTGCTCTGCTTCCTTGCAGAGTTTATTGATGCATTCTGCAGCTATTTACTCAGCACCTTTATCTACCAGGCACTGTGATAGTTTTTGGGCATGAAGAGGTGAGCAGATAAGCAGTTCCTGCTGGCCTGGTGCAGAACTCAGTCCAGCAGGTTTGGGAGGCTGTTTTCACTGCTGAGATAGAGAGACTCCTTCAGTTTATCCAAAGTAATGGAGGATTTTGCTTGTAAGGACACTGAAGGATTAAAGAAGACTTGATTCAGTTACACTTCTAGGTCTCTTGGGAGCGTAGGAACTAAACGAATCTAGTGGAATATAGTTTGGCAACTGAAGAGATCTCTGGTTATACAAGCACAAAGATATTCATAGGAACATAGGACTCAGTGTTCCACTGCAGTAGTGTTGGGGAGAAAGTCAAACCTTATATAAATATTTGTGTCTTTTTTCCTTGGGGATTCACTAAGATCTTAGGTTATATTCTCTTAGAAATGCTAGGATTTTACTCTGCTCTTAAATCATATTGTTTATTTCTCCAGGCATGTAATATATTTCCTATTTTTTTCTTTCTATCCTAGTCTCTAGTTTTCTCTCTTTCTGTGTGGGTGTGGGTGTGGGTGTGGGTGTGTGTGTGTGTCTGTGTGTGTGTGTATTCACCGAATATCCGCAGAATAAGAAAATCTAAAGGTAAAAACCAAAAATCTGAGAAAATTTAATTTGACTTGTCACATTTTAAAACACCTTCATCTGTTAACATTTTTTGGAAATTTGTATTGCTGTTTATTTTGTATATTTAAAAAGTGGTAATATTAGTTTACACTGAATAAGCGTCAGTCTCTTACATTTGAATAGGAATTTATAATTGACAGGTACCTCCAAAGATGTTTATTTTTTTTGTTTTTGAGACGGAGTCCTGCTCTGTTGCCCAGGCTGGAGTGCAGTGGTGCGATCTCCACTCACTGCAACTTCCGACTCCTGGGTTCAAGCAATTCTTTTGCCTCAGCCTCCTGAGCAGCTGGGATTACAGGTGCCCACCACTATGCCCGGCTAATTTTTAAAAAAAAGTTTTAGGATAGAGATGGAGTTTCTCCATGTTGGCCCGGCTGGTCTTGAACTCCTGACCTCAGGTGATACGCCCACCTCGGCGTCCCTAAGTGCTGGGATTACAGGCGTGGGCCACCACGCCTGGCCAGGTTTTTTTCTTCAGAAAAACCCCCTTAAAGAAGGAGGGCAGATCTTGCTTCCATTTATCACAAGTTGAAAATTTAAGTCAAGGTTACATGGTTCATCTATGCCATCAGAAGGTGGTGTGGCCAGTATTGGAGCCCAAGGCTCCCGTCTGCCAGTTGGGTGGTCTGTCCATACCCCACGCCTCACCCCCTCCCTGCCAGTGATGTGGAAGGTCGGAATGTTGGCGGTGCCCATCCTCACCTTCCTGCTCACCTTCCCTGACTTAGGTTCCTGAGAGAGAAGACCAGGCATAGCTTGGCCGGATGCACATTTCTTTTTTTCCAGCAAAGCCTCCACCCTGATTCCCAGCCTTCTCTATTTTGGTAATTAGACTAAAAAACTTGGAAAAATGGTGAAGGTGACCGTTAACTTGCTGAAAGTTTGTACAGGAAACATTTGTGTTTCATCCCTGCAAGTGGAAAGGAGGGCTATGGGTATGAGAGATTGGATTTTTGATGATTGTTCTCAAAACCCAGTGTTTACCTTAACTACTGCATACCACTTGCTCGTTGTACCCATTTTCTTAACTGTCCAATCCCATGCCCCATTAACTGTCAGGAAATGAAAATCATAGACCTGTCTACCCGCAATTTAGAAATTAACAGAATGTCTAGCAAAAATATCAAGGAGAAATAAAGTAAGATAATTTATAGCAAGTAAAATGTATTTCAGTAGGTATGTGCTTCAACATGTACTCAAGAAGACAATGCAGTTAGATTGTCCCACCTAGATGTAGAGGCTCTATAAAAGCTGCAAACGGAGTCTGATGAAAAAGCATTGTACTAGCAATCCAAATACCATAAGAAGCACTGTAGTAGTCACATGTTTTCTGAAATGGTGAACATCTATTGGTAAAATTCCAAACAAAGCAAGAAACAAAACACACAAAAAAACCCAAATTTGATTTATGTTGTCATTGTGTTGTAGAAAATTTGATGTATATTAAAGCTGCATAAATGAGTCATGTGTATATAAAGAGCTGTATTAGGATTTAGGCCCAGATGGTTATAAATGGACTTTTTTTTTTTTTTTTTTGCCAATGTGAATGCCCAGTGGGATGTTTTAAAAGTCATGCAGGACAAAAGTTGTAGGATGCAGGACAGTTCTTTGTTGTGCAGGATTGTTGTGGAGTTTGCCTGACAAAAGCCAAGGAAGGGTGTCCTCTGAATTACTGTGACAATCAAAATTGCCCCCACAAATTTAGAAAACATCTTCTAGATAGCGATGCCACCTTTGTGGAAAACCTCTGCCTTAAACACTTCAGAAAGACACAGAAACCTAAGGACCCAAGGAAAACAAAGACTTCTCGACCTTTCAAACCAGGAACCCATAGTCTTGTGGCTTCATCATCTAGAGAGGCTGGAGGGGACAGGGAGGCAGAGAATGTCTACTGTATTTTTGCCCCAAGGCTAAGAGAAATTTTTAAACCTTTATCTTGCCTGTATCTGCTTGCACTCTCTGTTCTGCATTCCTGTGGTTGCATTTTTTTGCATTTTGTTTCCGTTCACTGTCCTTGTAGCTTGCTGGAGGCACTCTTTAGACTAACTTTAATCGTTGCAAAAAAGGTTTTTGAAAACTGATGGGCCTTTGTGTATATGTGTAGTAAGATATACATAACACAATTTACCTGATGCAAGTTTTTTATGTAAGTAATTTGTGACTGTGCAAATATATGACTAAAGTATTGTGGTATATAAATAGTAAATATTGTATGTCTTTCAGTCACTTTGGAGGATGTAATTTTGTTATAAATGATAATATCTTGATAATTGGGTTTATGAATTTCACAAAGTTAATCTTTAATTGTAATGAAGATCACAAAGGAAGATAATATTCGCCTCTTACTGTATGATTTCAGGAATCTGTATTTTCATTTTCTGTTCTCTCTGAGGCAGCGTTTTGATGCAAGATACTCGTAAATTCAGATTCTCCAGCTCTGATGCAGAGTGACTGTGTGATCTAAAACAAATTAATAGATTTCTCTGAGACTTACTGTAAAATGTAGTCATCAGTTGTATGAAGATGCTGATTTTTTTTTTTTTTTTTTGCAACTGAGTTTCATTGTGTCAGCCAGCCTGGAGTGTAGTGGCGCGATATCGGCTCACTGCAACCTCTGCCTCCCGGGTTCAAGTGATTCTCCTGCCCCAGCCTCCCAAGTAGCTGGGATTACAGGCACCTGCCACCATGCCGGGCTAATTTTTGTAGTTTTTAGTAGAAATGGAGTTTCCCCATGTTGGCCAGGCTGGTCTCAAACTCCTGACCTCAGGTGATCTGCTCACCTCGACCTCCCAAAGTGTTGGGATTACAGACGTAAGCCACCGCACCTGGCCAAAGATGCTGATATTTGATAGCATGATTGTCAGGATTAATGTACTACACATCTGACATAGTTTTATTATAGTGCTTGTTCCTGTGCATACATATTTTTCATGCAGTGCAATCATACTGCTGATAAAAATTTTGTCTTTTTTTACTTGACCTAATGTTTCCATAGTGTAAACAAATTTCATAATTACTCTTCTAAAAGTATTGAAGTAGACTTATGACATTCTGTTACCAAAATATACTGCATAGTACATTATGTCCTTCCTTTATATAAAATGAACCAGAAATGTACCTGCTTCTCTTGAGAAAGAAATGTTTTTAAAAACCTTGGTTCTTGAGATAACTATGTCATCAAAACCAAGAAGAAACAGAGCTGAGTTGAGTCGGAGGAGTGGGCAGTTGGTAGGCTTGCCAGCTGAGTGGTGCGCACACCAGCCTGAGACTGCAGCCTTCAGTGGACAGATTTGCGTGTTGTGAACATTTGGATTGCACAAAAATCGTCAGAACCATAAATCTGAGACTTTCAAGGATATACTATCCTTCAGCTAAAGATGATTTCAACATACATGAGCAATTTCAGTTGTGTTTTGTAATTTTATCATTTAAAAAATGATGCTGCTGAATAGATTTATTCATACATTGCTCTTTCCTTCACTAGTAGTAGTACTTCAGGTTAAATCTCTAGTAGATTTACCCTATTAAGTGACACAAATCTTTTATAGTACTTGATGTAATTGCCAAATTGTTTTTTAAAGGTATTGTATCTCTTTATATGGTCCCCACGTAAGTAATTTTAGCTGTCTATAACTAGGGATTTTTCTTTTAAAGTGCTAATTTAATAGGTTAAATATTGATTTCAATTTATATTTATTTGATTATTAATGAATTTCAATATTTTTGTATATTTATGGTGTTTCCTCTTATTTATTCATCTTTTTCTTTAGTTAAATTATAAGATCATTTACCAATTTGAGCCTTTTCAGGGAAAATTAGACTTTTATTCTAATCATATTATTCTGCTTTTTCTTTCAGCTCCAGTAATAAACCGATTCACAAGGCGTGCCTCAGGTAAGTCTGATTATATTATAGATTTTGTTTACTAATGGTGACATTTTAAAAAGATAATATTGGACAAGAAGATACAAAGAATAATTGCTGTATAGTAAACCTTTATTTGTCAGTTATTTTCCCCAGAAAACACAACTATCTGGTATAATCACTATCTAGGAAGCAATTGAAAATGCCCTCTGAGTGGCTACACTGAAAGTCACACTGTGTACTAAACTGGTGGGCCTTTTTAAATGGAGACTGTCAGCCTAGGGTGTTATTCTTGCTCTTGATAGAATTACTACCTGCATAATTGTGTGATTTACCAGCCATAATCTAGAAGCAGTGATTTAGCAGATGAGTAAAGGACACCTTAGAAACAGTGATGAGTGTTTGTTTTTTTGTTTGTTGGTTTGTTTTTATAAGAGGATTTTTAATAAGGGACAGGAGAACTCTTAAAATGCAGATATAAGAACGTGTCATTATGGGGCCATTTAGAAGAGGAGCAAATTGCTTCATGTTTGTTTGTGCCCCTGAGGCTATTGCTGGTTTAAATATACCACAGTGCCCTAATGTAGTCAACTTGATAGGCCTTAGCCATTAACAAGGGCTTACATTAGGTTCAGTATACTGTGTACTATTTAAACTGCTGGGGAGGTATGAGACAGAATTAAGACCACTTCTATCCAAAATGGCTTAAGTAAAATGAGTTTGGGCATTGAGATAAACTGTTATTTAGAAAAATCACCATATGGAATATCTTCTCTGAATAAGAGGACAGATGAAGTGAGGGTAATATTTGATTTGAAAAAATTACTCTTTAAGTATACCTGGAAATTTTTTGTTAAACCTAAGATAAACATTTCACACAGATCATCTTTGGAGTTTATATAATACAAATGAGTCATTTATTTCACAATATTACCTTATTTATACCTGTGCTATAATATTAAAGACATGTTAATGTTGAATTTTATTTTTGATTTGTCGGCAGTTACTGGTATAATTTACTCTTGTTATATAGTGAACAGGTCTATAAGGATAATGTGCTACATTGGAATAACATCTGCTTTATTGTTCTGAGTTTTTTGTCATCTCAAGGCATATTTATTTTAAATGTTGAAAACAACTGTAGATTGTAATGCCTTTTGTGGAATGAGAGGTTATGTTTATGTCAGAAAGGCATCAAATTTTATCCCAAAGAAGAACTATCAAGTGTGATCATATTCTAGTGTAGTTGTTCTTTATGAGCAGTGGTGGGAACAAGGGAGGAAGAAGAGAGAATCAGTATTCTGATGCCTTGTCTTCATGAGGTGAAATTCTTTCAATAGAAACACAGCTAAGAATCATAGAATAAATAATCACCCTTTCTACCTCAAAATAAATGTCTCAAACCTTATGACATGTGACATTTATTTCTGGGCATGTTCCATTAGTATTTGTTGTACAATATACGTATCATTGGCCAGGCGCTGCGACTCACGCCTATAATCCCAGCACTTTGGGAGGCCGAGGAGGGCGGATCACGAGGTCAGGAGATTGAGACCATCTTGGCTAACATGGTGAAACCCCATGTCTACTAAAAATACAAAACCAAGATTAGCTGGGCGTGGTGGCAGGCTCCTGTACTCCCAGCTACTCAGGAGGCTGAGGCAGGAGAATGGCATGAACCTGGGAGGCAGAGCTTGCAGTGAGCCAAGATCATGCCACTGCACCCCTACCTGGGCGACAGGGCGAGACTCTGTCTCAAAAAGAAATTAATTGATAGATCAGGGGCTCCAGGGTATAGGTTAGTTTTGAAATGCCATTATTTTATACCCCACCCCCATGTGTGTCCGTGCGTTTTAGCAAGACTTGGCCAGAAATGTAGAGATGATGTAATGCCACAAACAAATACACATTAAAATCAAATGTTGCATTTATTCCCAGAATGACAGGTAACAAGAAATGTCAGTGAAAACAACAGGAAACAATTTGGTATAAATAAGATGATACCAAGTTCCGGAGTCACGCTATATATAGCAGTAAGCCTTAAAAGGAGTAAAATTGTTATCCCAGTAATATAATATGCTGGAAACCATTAGGAGAATGAATCTTGACATTAATTATTAGAAAAGAGAACTAACTTATGGAGTACCAGTGATGGATCAGGCACTTTACTCAGCATTTTATATACAGTTTTAGTCTTTCAGGCAAGGAAAATAAAATTATTTAATACTTTGGATTAAAAAAGCAATGGTATAAGAAAAAAGGGAAGAGGATTTATTTAATCATCTACTTGTCTGTATTTTATTTGAGACTTTATGTCTTGTAAAAGTTTGTCTAAAACTTTTTTGGCAAAGAATATAGAAACAGTCTTAAGACATCCTGAGGAGGAAATGCTACAGTTTTTTTGTTAATTTAATTTAGTGGCTAATATGAGGTTTACTTTTTTTAAAAGTAACATTTCCTGAAAATGAAAAAGAAATGAGTATCTTCTCAAAATGCAGTCAATAGTATTTGATAATTCAAAAGATTTCTTATGATACCTTTTCTGACTGAGTTTTATTTCAGAGATACTTTTTCTTTTCATAACCCATAGAACTTTAATGTAAGAATGGTAATTTAGGGGAAGAAAGTAAGTCAGGTAAAATCAACCAGACGTCTGTACGACATAAGAGTTTGTTTCTTATTCATCTATTTTTAAATTAAAGTTACAACAGTAAATGCTATATATATATATTACAACAAAAATACCAAATGTGTAGTGCTAGGTGTTCAGTCATTATTGATTCAAAAGAAAAAATTACTATGAATTATAATTAATAACTCATTAACTGACTTTCCTATATCTTTGAGTTTTTGGCTTTTGATATTCATACTGCATTTATCAAACATAAATATTTCAAACCTGAATAATTTAAACAAAACATTTCCCCTTTGTATACCTTTTTCTTTTGTTATGAAGATGAGAGGAATGTCTATGCTTAACATACATTCTTTAGGATTATCGTTACACTTTTAAGAACACTATTTGTGCTATAGTCTCTTGTCTTCTTCATGTGTTCAGTGCTGGCCCACAAACCTGTCAGTTTTTATTATTGTAAGTGAAAGGAATCAGTTTCACTCAGTATTTTCAAACAGAATTCCTAGTATCTTAAGAGTTTGTAGAGGCTTCAGGGCTGTATAAGCCAGCATCCTACTTGGTACAGGAGTGCAAGGCATGTAAAGACATGACTAATGGAGAGAAGCATAGATGGGCACCAGAAGAATAGGACCCAACTTTACTGATTAGATTGGGTAAGTTCCACAAAACATGATGAAAAACTGTCAGATTTCTTCTGAATTCCAGATATATCTCTGATATCATCCTGACAGCACCCCATAACCTTATTTTTAAACAGTACCTCATAGTTGCATTTTTAAACAAAAGAAAAAGAAATACTGCTTTTGGTCTCTTTTTTTTTTTTTTTTTTTTTTGAGATGGAGTCTCGCTCTGTCACCCAGGCTGGAGTGCAGTGGCCGGATCTCAGCTCACTGCCTCCCGGGTTTACGCCATTCTCCTGCCTCAGCCTCCCAAGTAGCTGGGACTACAGGCGCCCGCCAACTCGCCCGGCTAGTTTTTTGTATTTCTTAGTAGAGACGGGGTTTCACCGTGTTAGCCAGGATGGTCTCGATCTCCTGACCTCGTGATCCACCCGTCTCGGCCTCCCAAAGTGCTGGGATTACAGGCTTGAGCCACCGCACCCGGCCAATGCTTTTGGTCTCTTAAAATGCTCTTCAGCTCTTAATATCCCTTCTTATCAGTACATCCTTAATACAGAGAGGCCTGTTGTGGTGGCTCACACCTGTAATCCCAGCACTTTGGGAGGCCATGGTGGGCGGATCACTAGAGGTCAGGAGTTCGAGACCAGCCTGGCCAACTTGGTGAAACCCCTTCTTTACCAAAAAATACAAAAATTAGTCGGGCGTGGTGGTGTTTGCCTATAGTCCCAGTTACTTGGGAGGCTGAGGCAGGAGATTCACTTGAAGCCTGGAGGTGGAGGTTACACTGAGCTGAGATTGTGCCACTCCAACCTGGGCGACAGAGTGAGACCCTGTCTCAAAAAATAATATAAAATAACAGAGAAATCATTATCCATAATCCATTTTATTTTATTTGTTTTTGAGATGGAGTCTTGCTCTGTTGCCCAGGCTGGCGTGCAGTGGCATGATCTTGGTTCACTGCAACCTCCGCCCTCCCAAGTTCAAGTGATTCTCTCAAGTAGCTGGGACTACAGGCGCACGCCTCCATGCCTGGCTAATTTTTGTATTTTTAATAGGGACAAGGTTTTACCGTGTTGGCCACGCTGGTCTTGAACTCCTGACCTCAGGTGATCCACCTGCCTTGGCCTCCCAAAGTGCTGGGATTGTAGGTGTGAGCCACTGCGCCTGGCCACATAATCCATTTTACAATATGGGCTTTTTGTTTTTTGGAAGATGATTATTTTTGGTGGAAAATTGAAATAATGTATCATTTGTTGTTGTGAGTATTAAAAATTAGTGGCGGTGGCTGGGCACTGTGGTTCACACCTGTAATTTTGCCACTTTGGGAGGCTGAGGCAGGTGGATCACCTGAGATTGGGAGTTCCACACCAGCCTGGCCAACATGGTAAAACCCTGTCTCTACTAAAAATACAAAAATTAGCTGGGCTTGGTGGAGGGCGCCTGTAATCCAGCTACTTGCCAAGAATCGCGGTGCGAGATTCGCTTGAACCTGGGAGACAGAGGTTGCAGTGAGCTGAGATTGCGCCACTGTACTCCAGCCTGGGTGACAAAGGGGGAGACTCCGTTTAAAGTAAATAAACAAATAAAAATTTAGTGGTGGTAGTAGAAGTAGTAACTCAGTAAATATTTTAAGAGTAAAGCTTTAATCAAGAAATAATCCTGTTGCTTCACTGATCACCTAATATATGGGAAAGATCCTAGGGTTTGAAGTTGTACTGACTAGAGTTTTCCCATTTTCTCTGTGAATTTGCATGTAAGTTGTTTACTTCTTTGAG